CGCAGGAAGGAGCTGCCGGCTCCAGGCTAGCCGACCCGCACCATGCCCCGCATCGATGCGGACCTCAAGCTGGACTTCAAGGATGTCCTCCTGCGACCCAAGCGCAGCAGCCTCAAGAGCCGAGCAGAGGTGGGACGCTCCCAACGCCGCCTTGGGGTGGGCCGGCTTCTGGGTGGCGCGGGGCAGGTGGTAGAAGGAGGAGCAATGTGGCAATACCTCGCCTGCTTTTCTGGGTCTGAGGATGGCTGGGGTGAGACCTGGGCAAGGGGAAAGCCAGCTGGCTCCCTGCCAGGACAGAGGTGTCTTCAGGGGGCCCAGCTGGGGCCTAGCATTCTAAAGCTTCGGTTGGGTGGGCCGGGAAGTCCATGTTAGAGCTAGACCACAGAGGAGCAAGATCAAGTGGCCCAATGAGGAGAGAGAATGGGGAGGCAGGACGGGTGCATTTAGGGGGAAAAGGACACAGTGGAGCCAGATCATAAAAGGAGAGGAGAAACAACGGAAGAGACATGATTTTGACGCTGCTTCTTAGTGCAGAAAACTGCTATTGGCTTAGTGTCAGATCCAGCAGTAGAATTTCTTTAAAATATTTGAAAAACAGGGAAACTTCAGGGTTTACTCTCTGCGTTTCAGTGGCCTTGCTGGGAGTGAGGCTGGGACCCGTGCCCAGTGGCACCCTCCTTACTGGACAGCTGCCCAGTCCTAGCAAAGCTGAAAGCACTGGGGTGTGGGCGTGGGGTTGGGGGGGCAAACTGGATCAAAGCTTGAAGAACAGGTGGAGACTGGACTGGAAATAGCCTCGGTGTGGGGGTTGGGATGCCCCTACTGGTGAGGAGGAAGGTCAAACTCTGAAGGTTAAACTAGCTGCACAGAAAGGCAGAGTCCCCTGGAGTGGTGTGTGCTGGTGACCATGGCTTTGCCTGGTCTGCTGAGAGCTAGGGAGGGAGGCGAGGGAGCTGGACTGGGCCTGGAGGCTGCGGCCACAGGAGTAAACAGGAGGAGGCTGAGCCAGCACGCTGTTCCTTACACCTCAGCCCAAAGACCATAAATAAATCGGCGGGCTGCCCACCAATGCCCCAGCTCAACTGCAGTGCCTGGCGCTGCCCGCCGAGGGCTTGTTTGGATTAGGGAGGCCTCCTGCTTTAGCCAAGGACCAGAACCAAGTCACCTTCTCAGTCTCAAGCGGGAGGGTTGGTGGGCTGCGGCCAGAGAGGATGGAATAGGCAGGAGAGGAACGGTTTACCCTTGTCATGCTAGCCAGTTGGGGGACTGTGCCTGTTCTTCATGTTCATTCACGTGCTAAAGAGGGGGCAGACTTTAAAGAAGAATAAACAGTTTGCACGGCCAGCCTGGGCTTCCCCAAGTATAAGCTGTGGTCAGTACCTAAGACCAGACTAAGACGAGATGTAGGGATTATAGGCAGGCTAATAATTTGGTGTTCTCAATATTCTCTAAATCAGCGGTTCTCAACCTGTGGGTCGCGACCCCTTTGGCGGTCGAACGACCCTTTCACAGGGGTCGCCTAAGACCATCCTGCATATCAGATATTTACATTACGATTCATAACAGTAGCAACATTACAGTTATGAGGTAGCAACGAAAATAATTTTATGGTTGGGTCACAACATGAGGAACTGTATTTAAAGGGCCAGAAGGTTGAGAACCACTGCTCTAAATATTTGTTCAGAACTCACTTAGTAGAGAGGAACTTTTAAGAAAAATTATATTTTTGAAACAAGGATATATTATATGTATTTTCTGAACCAGGAAACATCTTGAGAAAGTAAAACATTTAGAATTTATGTAATAGAATGAATTACTCTTTCCCAGGGAAGAGTATGACATCATATATCATTTTGTTTGATAATTTGGGCTGATTAATGACCCAGCCTCTGATGGCACCTTACAAGCTACATGTAAGCATTGCAATGAGAACTCTGTGTCCTAGGGAAAGGTTTTCATATTTCCAGTTTTGTGGGAGTTTGCCAGCTCAGTGCCAGGAAACCTGAGGTAACTGGCATTGCCTTTCCAATTGGTTCCTGTAATAGTTTAGCTCCCTGTTGCCTGAGGCAGCTGCCTGGCTGGCTACCCCTCATACTCAGACTGCCTGCTTCAGTGGTGTTGAGGGATGTAGTTAGGCCTAGGTCAGGCTAGGCTTCTGATCCCCTCTCAGTGTTTTCTCAGTTTGCTTGTGGATGCCTGACATTTTTTAGAGGCAGATTAAACTATTTTCATTGCACAATCAGATAGAAGCCAAATGTCTGCACCCTGGCAGGAGTCATACCCGAATGCAGATTTGAAGCTCAATGGTAAATGACTGGTAAATGACTGGATTTTGAGCTGAATCAGAAAGCAGATTTGAGTGAAGCCAGGACAGAAAACATACCCCTGAGAGCAGAGTCTTGCCCAGAAGGGAGAGTTTTGACGGTTGACAAGATTGAGCACTGCAACAGTGTTGCTAAGAGCCAGGCCTGGTGCTGATCATGGTGAGCAGGAAGTGGAGAGAAGGACAGAGTGTTCTCCCAGCCCAGAAGTTTGAGCACTTCTGCTGGGGCGTTTCCACAAGTGTCATATAAAATGTATTTGAAGTCACCTTCCAGAGGCAAAGGGTACAGGTGGGGATGACCCAGGTGGCCTTTCAGTGGTTGTACCAGCTGGGCAACTGGCCATCCATTCATTGCCTTTACCCACAAGACATTGTGGGCTGGGACATTCATAGTTTCAATCAAGCCCCTGGTGCACAGAATAAAGTGCCACAGGGCTGTGTGGGGGCATTTGAGTCATCTTTCCAGAGGAATTGACATGTTTGTTGACTAAGGCAAGACCTGGTCTTTTTGTTGTTCTTGTTAAGCCTCACGGAAGGATATTTTTTCCTATTTATTTATTTATTTATTTATTTTAGAAGGAGAGAGAGAGGCGGGGACAGAGGAAAAGTGATGTGAGAGAGACACATCCGTTGGTTGCCTCCTGCATGCACCCCGACCGTGCCTGGGCAGGGATGGGTCTTGCAACCCAGGTGTTGACTGGGAATCAAACCAACAACCCTTAGGTATGCAGGGCTGATGTTCTAATCACTGAGTCACACCAGCCAGAGCAAGACTTTGTCTTTATTGATAGATAGGGAAACTCAAATGCCCTTGATCCCCTGAGCACATCCCTCCTGGGGATAATTCCTGGCTCAGATGTCCCAACTTATTCCTTACGCTAGTAAGATATTAAAAAAAAACAACCCAAAAACTTATTAATGCAACTCAAACTTTGGAAGTCAGGTATTGAAGAGAATTTGCATCAGAAAATTGTCCACTTGTCCCAGGACAGGGAAAACAATGAGTGTGCAGTCTCTAGTGTTGTTTCTCCAGGGGTCCAGTGAGCAGAGTGCTGGTCCAGCCTGAGCAGCCCTCAGCCAGGGGGTGAGAGCAGGGCAGGTGGAGAGGCTACCGGGCTGGGGAAAAAAGTCTGGGCTGCAGTCCAAGCTCTGTCACAAATTATTTTATTGCCTTTGCCTTTGGGTCAGTTCCCCGGGGCTGCTGTGACAAAGCACCAGGCTGGGTGGTTTACGCAATAGATGTTTATTGTCTGACAGTTCTGGAGGCTGGAAGTCCCAGGTCAAGGTGTTGGCAGGGTTGGTTTCTTCTGAGGCTGTGAGGGAGCATCTGTTCCTGTCCCCTCTCTCTGGTGGTTTACAGGCAATCTTAGGTGTTTCTTGGCTTGGAGACGCCTCACCTTGATCTCTGCCTTCATCTTCACATAACGTTCTCTCTTTCTGTGTGTCTGTGTCCAGATTTCCCCCTTTTAAAAGAACACCAGTCATATTGGCATGGGCCTTCCTGATATCAGGGCTCATTTTACCTTGATCATCCGCAGAGACCCTATTTCCAAATAAGGTCAGTGGGTAAGACTTCAACATCTTTCGGGAAGACACAAACCATAACAGGTTTTCTCTGTAAAATTAGAGGGTTTGACTAGACTTGTTATTCACAGATGCCTCAGAATCATCTCGGAAGACACTCTGAAAATACATATCTTGTCCCTCAACACAAAGGTTCTGATTTATTAAGTTTGAGGCATCCCAAGCATGTGTATTTTGGACATTGTCCTAAGATGATTCTCATGTGTGCGTGGATGCTCTGGACTGGCCACGGGAACCCCTTCCATTAGTGGAGCCTGTGGTTGTCTGGTAATGTGCAGCTGCGTGTGCTTCTCCTGAGACTGGATGGTGACACTTCCAGGGATCAGAGCCCATTCGGAGGGCTGGCCTGGGGCCCACCAAGCATTACTTGAAAATGGCTGGGAGCCAAAATGATGTTATTCTTGCCCCTTGCCCAGATGTTAATTTATTCTCCCCCGCCCCCCCCGCCCAACTACCACCCTGTTTTTAATCCTCACTCAAGGATATGTTTTTACTGATTTTAGAGGAAGGGGGGAGAGAGAGAGAGAGAGAGAGAGAGAGAGAGAGAGAGACAGAGAGAAACATTGATGTGAGAGAGAAACATCAATTGGTTGCCTTCCCCTCATGCCCTGAGTGGGGATCAAACCTGAAACCTGGGTATGTGCCCTGATTTGGAATTGACCCCACAAACTTTTGGTGTGGGGGACAACACTCCAACCAACTGAGCCCCCCGGCCAGGGCTAATTTATTTCACTTGAGCCAGTAGGACTTCAAAGGCCAAAGGCTTTGTCCCTGTGCTTAGACTTGTGATCTACATTGAGACAGATAATGAGCAAGGCAGTTAATAAGAGAATTGCTTTAATTAGTACCATCCACAGGTCGAGGCAAAAGGGTCTCCTGCCCCCTCCTCACTGGACAAGGCTGTGGGCTGTGCTGTTTCTTCTGGGCCCTCTCCCAGTACTCAGGATCCTGGATTTCCCTGCCCTCGTGACTTGGAGCTGATCCCAAGGCCTGCAAGGGTCGCTTCGCCAAGTGTGTTTTCTCAAAGGCCATCCGTGCTGCTGGTAGGCTTGCCTCTAACCTCAGAGAGTGGCCAAGTGGCAGGTGTTTGTGGGAATGGAGGTGTGTGCGGAACGTAATGTGTGGACTGGAGTGTCCATGTGTGTGCACACAGGATTTGGGTGGAAGGCAAGGGGATGTGGCTTGCAGGCCCAGCTGGCTCCCCATGACACCAGGTCCTGGTGCTTCCCAGGTCAGTAATGAAACTGTGTTTGTGAAGGTAGAAGGATAGAGCAAGATTCATGAAACAGCTTGCTAGCTTGACTTGCAATGAGGTGTTTAGGACTGTCGTAAGAGGGCCTCAGTTTGTACTTTCGGGCCCTCTAATGCAGGCTGACTTGAATGAAGGTATGTTTAAAGGGCTGCAGGTGGGAGAGGGGAGGTTTGTTACTTTATGTTCCCTATCAAATCAGTTTAGCAGAGTGACAATTTGGAGGTGCTATATTTGGTGCATTGACCAGCTGTGGCAGATTAAATTCCAAGTTTTGTTCCTGGGAGACTGGAATTAGATATCTCTCAGTGAACAACTGGTCTGTTTTGTGTGTGTGTGTGTGTTGATAAGGACGGCAAGATCATCTTATTTATCACTTTTAGAATTAAGGATTGTATAGAACCTACTGTATGGAGAAGACTAGACATGAGGGGGAGAGTTCGTTGCCAAGGCTGACCATTCCCATGAAGAGCTCTCTTTTTGTGCACCGCCCATCGGTTTTGGAGTGCCAAAAACCCATTGTGAGCAACACTGAGTGCGGGACAGCATCTCTCCCCATGCATCTTGGGAAGAGTGGAAGAGTAATTTGACACCAAGGAATTCTGATTTTTTTAAGCCCTGGAAATCGAAATCCGAGGGCCATTAACCAACACAGAAGGTTGCAACAAATATGACCTCTCCAGTTATCTTTCAGAACCTAACTATGACTTGCTTCACTGAAGTAGAACCAAGAATCATAATGAAGAACTGGAGAAGGAATGACCTGGCCCCTGTGCCCTGGCAGTGACAGCATCTCATTTCCCCTCACTGTTGCTGTTTAAGGTCCGCGTGGACATACTTATGGCATCGTTCACCCAGGAAGCCAGGTGGACAGGGAGTCCTGTGTGGAGAAGCAAGAAACATGAAAAAGCAAGGGGGCCTGAGATGCCCCATGGTGTTTTTTTGACATTTTGATAGCAAAGTGAAACTTGTCTCAAATGAAAAGAATAAAAGAAGGAACTAGATAAACACCGGCAGGAAATGGTTGTTGCGGGTGTACTCAGGAAGGCCAGGATCCAGGGAGGTAGGCCCAGCTTATGATACACCCCTGTGTTTCTCTTGCTGACTTTCCTCGGGGAAGTGCCTTCTTCCATCAGATCCAGCCAAGGAAACAAACTGCTTAATATTTAAAGCAGGGAATTTAATGCAAGACATCCTGACATTGCTGAGATGCCAAATGAGATATTGAGGCCCCCAAGAGGCTGGCAGCTGAGAAAAACCACTTCCAAAGATCACGGGGAAGGTGATCTTACTAGGCCCAGGGACTGAGATGGCTCTGAAAGCTGGAACGAAGATCCTGCAGGCCTCGGCAGAGGGGTCCTGGGAGAGCTACCCTGATTACACCCAGGCTCACTCTCCCCCAGTTTCCTACCCAGTGACCCCCATTGGCTGAACCCAGCCAGAAACCAACCTGGGGAATGGAGCCTGCAGGGGGCCTCCCTGTGATGGTACCTGGCAGGAGAAGGGTGAGGAATGGGTCTGCGTGCACACAGGCCTGCAGTCTGCCCCAGAAGTGATTTTACTCTGCTAGCTCTGGATGAGCACCTAGCACACTGCTTTTGCTGAACCTGCCGTCTTGGCCCAGCTCTCCTGATAGTAGTGGACTTAGTCCTCAGTGCCCTGACGCTGGAGTTGCATTGGAGTTGGAGGGCCTTCTCTCCAGCTGTTTGCGAGTCAGATGGTTGCACAGAGAGTTGGTTGCAGTGCACTCGCCCCAGCTCTTTGAAAGATGCTCCTAATTACAAAGCAGCTGAGAAGGCTGGAAGGTGAAGGGATCAGTGGTTTGCAGCTCACTGCGGGGTGAATTTGGAGTGGAAGGGGAGAAGGACAGGGAGGGCCATGCTTGGCAGGCAGAGTGGAATGGATTTTCTCTGTTGGGGGACTGATTGTCCAGTGTTGGGAAGTGGGGAAAGAGAACGTGTATGTGGGGTGTAGGGCTAGGAAGAACCAGGCTGGGGACAGAGGAGGCAGTGCTATGGGAGAGGCTCCTGAAGGAGAGAACTTCGGATCCGGAGGCTGGATGGATGGCAGAAAATGCAGTGTCTGCGCTGTCACTTGAGGATGCTGAGGAGCCGAGTTCAGCTTTTGTACCTGGGTAATAGCCACTACTCGGTCTCCTCAGGGACTCTCCTGTCTTTGGAACATCTGGCTCAGCACTAAGCGAATCCAGGGACTAAGGGACAGACACTTCCTTTGTGTTCTTTCCACTTGCTTCTGATTCTAGAAAATCCCACAAATCATGCAAAGAGCAAACAGTTCTTTTTCCTTTTTGCCAATAGGTGGATCTGGAGCGGACCTTCACATTTCGAAACTCCAAGCAGACCTACTCAGGGATTCCCATCATTGTGGCCAACATGGACACTGTGGGGACATTTGAGATGGCAGCGGTGATGTCACAGGTAGGGCGGTGGGCTTTTTCCCTCGGCTGTTCACACTGGACCGCTTGTCAGGAGCCCATCCTGGTCTTGTTCAGACACAGGGAAGAGAAGAAAAGGGAGACACTTGGATCCTTGGCTGGGACTGAACTATTTAGTTCCGAGTCTGATCCTTGTGGGAGGCACTTCTTCTCTTCCCTGCTTTTCCATTAGAAAAAATGGGTGGAGTCTGGACTTTGCAGTCGGTGAGATGGCTGAGAGCCACATCCATTGCTTCCCTAAAGATGCCCGTGATAGTTTTGGAAATTAGAGCTACAGAAAGAAGGTGGACATTGTGCCATATTGTGAAGTTAGTTGAGTGCCATATTATGGGAGAGGGAGAGTGCCTTCAAATGAAGACACAACTGCTTCGTATGCAGTCTGTGCTATAGCACTTGTTACATCGTGTAGAACACACTCATTGAGCACTTTACTTGCCAAACACTGGATATGATGATATAATGTTGTCACAGCTTCACCAGGTGGGTTCCTTTTACAGATGAGGAAACTGAGGCATAGAGGGAGAGGAGAGATAATTTGGCCCAGGGCGTTCAGCCAAGTAGAGACAAATTCAAGATTCAAACCCAAACCGACTCCAGAATAAGGGATTTGCCTGTCAATTTACACTGACAGATCACAGTGCAAGCGCAAGGTCCCCCTTTACCAGTTACCAGTCTAATGTCCTGTAAATGGAATAGCTGGTATCCTGGCCTTGGGAAAAGTAAAGGAAAAGCTTTCTGTGGGCAGGACCTGCGTCTCACGCAGCTGTGTCCCAGGTGCAAGGCACTCTATTCATCCGAGATGCAGACATCCACTTGTAATGTGCACAGGGTGTGCGCATCTATTTCCCCTGATAATCCTGCCAAGTGAAAAAAACCAATCCAATTAGTTGAAAGAGCTTCTGGCTGTGGGCAGCAAGTCTCACCTCAGGAGGTGCTGGGAGTCCTTATTAGCCAGTGATCAGCAGGAAGAGCTTCAAACAAATTATGAGCTCAAAACGTGGCGTAGGAGGTGGTCTGTCTGACTCCACGATCTGTCAGTTGTATTATCTGTCAGCCCTCAGTCCCCACTGAGCTTTGGGCCAGAGGCTAATAAATTAATTGCTAAAGGAATTTGTATTTTTTTTCCCTCCCCATCTGTTCCTTGCTCTGCTCTGTGATCTGCCATTGCTACTAATGAATTATGTATTCGTGTAAAAGTGGGTGGAATCAGGGAGCAATAAATAGCCCTGGTTAATTCACATACCAGTTTATTACTCCGTGAAAAACATACACCTTCTTATGCTCTTCCCATTTTCACGGGAAAGACTCCCCATTAATGAGACAGAATACACTGAAATAGCTCCCCATGCATGGGTACTATGCAGTTTCTATTTCTGGGATCCATTCAGTTAGTGCAAGTGGATGAAGTCATGGAATTTTAGAATCAGAAACTGTGGATGGAGAAAAGCACCAGAGAAGTGATGAGCGAGGCCCTGGTGTAGGGGAAGGAGCCCGAGCTCTGCAGTCAGATTTGAGTTTGATTCTGCCTTTGCCCCTTACTGGCCAAGCAATTGTGAAATTTCTTACATTTAAACTTCTTAAGCTCTTTTCTGCCCACAAAGCTAATATTAGTGTACAAAATTGTGAGAAGTAAATGAAATAATGTATGCAAACTGCTTGCACAAGGTAGGTACTCAATAAATGCCAGGTTGATAGTCACAGACTTCCTATTATAATTTATATAATTTCCTTCCTTAGGGATACCCACTGCCTGATGGGTTTAGCTTTTAGCAAGAAATGCTTAGGTTGTGACCACAAGGAAAAGCTTTCAGGTATAAGTTGAGGTTCTCTCGGGTTGACTAAGCAGAATTGGCCTTAAGGAGGCCCTTCTTATGGGCAGGGGACCTGCTCTTGGCCTAATGCAGGTGGTCAGCGGGACAGGGCTCAGAACTCTCCCTCTTCCCTCCCCTGCCTCCTGGCAGAGCCTCTTAAATACTGATGGTGGTATTTTCTGATGAGATTAGAATGGAAAAATCCTTTTGTGATTTCACTGGCTTCACCTTTGTCTGTTTTTGGCTCCTAGGAGCATATTCAAAGCTAATTAAACATGACTGGCAGGAACCTCTGATGCTTTTGTATGGTTGGCTCACCCCTGCCTCTCCGCCTTACCGAGGAAGGAGGCTCACTTGACTTTTCATCCTAACGGTGCTTTTTGTTTCCTAGCACTCCATGTTTACAGCAATTCACAAGCATTACACCCTGGACGACTGGAAGCTCTTTGCCACTGATCACCCAGAATGCCTGCAGGTATTTGTTGCAAAGGGTAGAAAATGTTTGGGGTTGTCCAAAGGATTTGAATCAGCAGCGCATAGACACACACACACACACACACACACACACCCCTGAGAGAGACCTGGGTAACCGCAGTAGTTGTGCTCCAGCCCTTCATTGTTGCCAGGGATTTGCTAAGGAAATCTGTTCTGTATCCTGTTTTGAAAGTATTAGGATTTACTTGCAAAGGAGTATCTGTGTTTTTCCCTTGAAAGGTGAAGTGTTATGGTATGAGGGCTTGGGGAAGACCTCTGTTTCCTGCCAGGGTAGATCCAATCCAAACATTCCTTCTGGATGTAGAAAAACCTTCTAATTGTAGCAAGTTGTTTTGGTGTTGAATAAACAGTATTCCTGCTAGGAGGGCTATAATTAAAAGACAGAGAGTAACTAGTGTTGGCATGGATGTGAAGAGATTGGAACCCTCCTGTATTGCTGGTGGGAATGTAAAATGGTGCCATTGCTTTGGAAAAAAGTTTGGCAGTTCCTCAAAAAGATTAAATTATAAGAGTTACCATATGACTCAGCAATGCCAGTCTTAGTTATAGGCCTGAGAGAAATAAAAAAAAAAAAATGTCCACACCAAAACGTATACAGAGATGTGTATAGCAGCATTGTTCATAATAGCCAAAAGTTAGAAGCAAGCCAGATATCCATCAACTAACTGATGAATGAAAACTAATATATCCACACAATGGAATGTTATTCAACTATAAAAAGTACTGACACATCTACAGCTGGATGAGCCTTGAAAACACTTTGCTAAGTGAAAAAGCCAGATACAAAAGGCCACATATGTGATTGTTTACATGAACCATCAAGAATAGGCAAACCTCTAGAGACAGAAAGTAGATTAATGGTTGCTTGAGGGATGGGAGGGTGGGAGGGCGAGGCCTAAAAGGAGTGAGAGTTCCCTTTTGGGGTGGTGAGGATGTTCTACCATTGATTATGATGGTGGTCGCACCGCTCTGAATGTACTAAAAACCATTGAACTGTGGACTTTAAATGGGTGAATTGGATGGTATGTGATTTTTATCTCAATAAAGCTGTTATTATTTTTTAAGGGCAATTTGAAAATAACAAAAAGCCCCACTCTGATGTGCCTGAGTTCCCTCCTGGCACGTGGTTGGTTCGGAGCCAGGGCCAGCAGAGCGTCCGCCTTGGAGACACTGTCCTCGGATCAGATTACCGTGATTGCAAAATGACTTCACAGTGGGCGGCGTTTGAGGTTGCGCTGGCTTTTTTTTTTTTTTTTTTTTTTTTTTGGCTATGTTTTAATTATGTGTGGATTTTGATTAGTGAGAAGGTGGTTTTGGAGATAAAATAGTTCTGGCTCAATAGCAAATCCTTCCTTTTTGACATATTGTGTTCACAAGAACTATACTTGTTTCACCTTCTCTCTCCCTCTTCTCTGTTGGAAGTCTGGAAGGCAATGACTTTGGGGCCATGTGTGGTTGATTGGAAGCTTGGCTTTCATGAAGGAGTAAGGTCATTTTACCTATTACCCAGCCCCCACCAAACTAAAGGCTGATTTTTCTGAAAAGGGAAAATGTTAAAAACAGCAGCACTGAGAGAGATGGAAATGGAGGGGAAAATAAAAAAGCTCTCGTGGGCGGGAGAAGATGTGTGGGTTGTGCCGCCTGGTCACACTGCCAACAGGAGTGAAAGAAGAGTAAACCCAGGAAATGAGTCAGCATGAATCCTGTTACAGTTCTCTTACAACCACTGGACTGTAGCTACATTGTTGTGATTTTTTGGGGGGAATAACAAGATATTAATATATGTCCCTCCTCTGTGGTTTATGGACTAGAGATAACAAATTAAAATATTCTTATAAAGGTGAGATGCCGACTCTGGGCACAGTCCTATGGCTTAGTTTCACTGAGGCATAAATTACTAAACACAGAGGTCTTTTCCCAAAGAGCATCTTTCCGAGGAGCCGGTGGGTGGGTTGGAGGGTGCTGGTGCTGTGGAGGTTGGGGAGGGGGTCACGGAGCGGGTGCGGTGGCTTCAGATGTAAACACATCCAAGTGCAGTTGGGGAATGATGCTTTCAGGCTCCTTTGTTCTTGGCCCTTTTAATAGGAACACTGAGATTTGCAGCTCTTTGGGTTACGATCTGCATGTTGTGTTAGTATTGTATTGGGAGTAGAAATGAAAATAGAAAAGGGCCCTAACCGGTTTGGCTCAGGGGATAGAGCATTGGCCTGCAGACTCAAGGGTCCCAGGTTCGATTTCGGTCAAGGGCATGTACCTTGGTTGCTGGCGCATCCCCGGTGGGGGGTGTGCAGGAGGCAGCTGATTGATGTTTCTGACTCTCTGTCCCTCTCCTTTCCTCTCTGTGAGAAATGAGAAATCAATAAAATACATTAAAAAAGAAAAAGAAAATAGAAAAGGGTTTTAGACCCCTTTCCCTCCCTCCTTCTGAGCCCCAGAGCGAGATGCTGGGGGTGATGGCCACAGCGTGGGCGTCCGGAGGCCCGAGTTGACTGGCCTCCCATCATTCTTCCTGCCTCTCCTCTCCACCAGGAGGAGGAGAATTCGCACCAATGGTTCCACGATTCAGAGTCCCACATAGAGAGCCAACAACACGTGAACGAACGCCACGGACAAGGTTTCCTGGCTACGTAAAACACTGTTAGCTAGAACCATTCGTGGCTGAGGGCCAGGGCCAAGGATACATGCAGTTTAATGGTGGGAAAGAGCAGGGGCAGAGTTTAGATGATGTAAGGAAGGGATTCCTTCACCTCTGCTGCTGCCTGGTTCTCCAGCAGGGCCACTCTGTGCAGGTTCGATCAGGGTAACTGACCTCCGAGGGTCACTGTACTGTCCCAGAACAGGTGAGTGGATGGAGGCAGGGTCTGGCTTCTGAAGACTTCTCACTGTCCATGTCTCACCCCTCTTGGTTTCTATTCGGTACAGCATGTAGCCGTGAGCTCCGGCAGTGGGAAGCATGATCTGGAAAAGATGAGCAGCATCCTGGAAGCTGTGCCACAGGTTAAGTTTATTTGCCTGGATGTGGCCAATGGCTATTCGGAGCACTTTGTGGAATTCGTGAAACTCGTCCGTGCCAGATTTCCAGAGCACACCATTATGGTAGGTACGGTGTAACCTTCTGGAGCTGGGGAAGTAGGGAGGGGTGCCCGGTGCATCAGGGGGGCTAGATGCTCTGCAGAGCTTTCGGTGCCTTCTCATTGGAAGACTGGTTGAAAACCACCGGACACAATGGAAGCTGTGGAAGATCTGAAACCTGGCTCTCCTCTGTGAAAAGTGCAGTCCAGGCCAGCAGCGTAGGGTGTGGCTCCTTAGCTCTGCTTAATATCGTCACATGTTTCTTACCCTGTGATACCTTTAAACAAAGGTCTGTGTCACCTTAACAAAGAACAGTTTGTTTGTTTTTCAAATTATAAGAACAAGTTTATTTAGAAAGTGACAGAGGTAGTAGAAGTGAGCCAGCTGGGCTGCGTAGGCTCAGGAAACAAGTTACAGAGGCAGAAGAAGGGCGCCTAGGAGCTGAGAGAGAAAGGCAGAGGTCACCACGTGCCTGGGGGAAAGATGGAAGGGAAGGGAGGGAGAGCCAAAGAGCACATTCTTACAAATGAAAAACCCACTGTAACAGCTTCAGTGTAACCTGCTTCTGCCAGCCACACCCACCCCTCCTTACAGTAGCAGGCTCTCCTGTGAGAGTTGAGTCCACAGTAGGAACATTTCACAGTTGTCAGCTGTTACTTGTAAATTATTTGGCGTGTTGTTTTAACTAGGATCTTTATTCTTGACCTTTCCTACCTTTTTTGTATTATCCTAACCATCAGTACCTTCATTACTTAGAATATGTATTTGTTATTGCTGGGAAGTGTGGATTTTCAGGAAAAGGAACTAGAAACTCTAAAGTTAAATTTGGGCTTTTGGGAAATCTATATTGTAGTTACGTGTGTCTTTACTGGTCTTAATTAACATGGCAATTATAGCTTGGCCACTAGATAAGCTACCTAAATCTCCTTTTTAAATCCTGTGTTCCTCATAATTGATCACTGTATTGAAGTTGGGAGACAGGAGTTATTTCTATTGGTGGAGTTAACTCTTCTGTTAAGAATTTCCAAGGATTTTTAAGATAAGTATTTTTATGTTTTCCGATCACGTGAGAAGAAAGGATCAAGAATTGTCCCAAGGTCAACCAGCTGTATGGAGTCACAAGCTGGGTGGGAAACAACAAGATTCATTTTACCTTCCGTAAAAGTGCTACCAATGTCGTTGCTTTTTTTTGATAAGAGTAATAGCATTTATTGAGTGCCTACTGTGTTCCAGAAGGTTTACATCTTTTCCCCCACTTCTTCTTCATGTCTTTGTAAAGAGTAAAAACTGTTGTCCCAAACTTACCACAGATGAGGAATTCTCACCCAAGGATATGTTTATTGAATTTTAGATAGAGGAAGGGGGATGAGAGAGAGAAATATCATGAACCCAAAACCTAGGTATATACCCTGACCAGGAATCGAACCCACAGCCTTTTGGTGTAGGTGATGATGCTCCAACCAACTGAGCCACCTGGCCAGTGCCAGATGAGGAATGTTAAGCTCTTATTTCATTTTTTTAAAATATATTTTTTGTTGATTTCAGAGAGGAAGGAAGAGGGAGGGAGAGAAACATCAATGATGAGAGAGAATCATTGACTGGCTGCCTCCTGCACACCCCCTACTGGGTATCGAGCCCACAACCCAAGCGTGTGCCCTTGACTGGAATAGAACCTGGGACCCTTCAGTCCGCAGGCTGGTGCTCTATCCACTGAGCCAAACCAGCCAGGGCTTATTTCATTCTTATACTTTGGGATTTTCACAAGGTCACAGCAACATTAAGCAGCAAAGCTGGGATTTGAAGCCAGGTTGTTCTGAATGCGACACCCATGGTCTACCCTTGAGGCTGCTTAATGTGCCCATCCTCGTTAACTTTAGTGATGAGGCTCCTTTCTTCCATTAGGGGCCCAGTGGTCGGCAAACTGCGGCTCGGCAAACTGCGGCTTGCAAGCCACATGCGGCTCTTTGGCCCCTTGAGTATGGCTCTTCCACAAAATACCGACTTCTGTGCATGGGCCATGAAGTTTCAATCGCACTGTATGTGCACGCCCACATGTGGTATTTTGTGGAAGAGCCACACTCAAGGGGCCAAAGAGCCGCATGTGGCTCACGAGCCACAGTTTGCCGACCACAGCACTAGGCCATGTGCATGTGACAATTTCCTGCTCCCCGTTCTGACGAGGTTGACCTTGTATGTTTGCACTGGAGGGTGACCCTGTATCATGACCCAAGGATAGGAGGTCAGGGGCCTCAACTGGCTCTTTTACCCCCAACCATCTGGGGTAACTGTTTCTTAGGAAGAGAAAATGGAAAGCTGGACTCCAGGGAGGGCAGACGCCCTGCCCCAGCTAGACCTGGGAGCCCTCATCAGCATTTCGTATTAAACAAAAGTTCTGTGAAACAACAGCGGGGTGGTAGAAAGAGAATGGCACTTATTTGTTGACTAGGAGAGGAGTCTTTTGTTTTTTCTTCTGGAGAATGAGGAATAAGGCAGGCCCAGGTGGCTGCTGACATTCTTATCTGAGGTGGTGGATCTGATCTTTCCAGAGATTTCCATTTCACCTCTAGTGTTTTTGTTGCTTTTTCATCCTCACCTGAGGAGGGGTGTGTATGTATATATATATATTTGTTTATTTAAAGAGAGGAAGAGAGAGAGAGAGAGAGAACCGATGTAAGCGAGAAACATCGATTGGTTGCCTCCTGAATTGCCCCAACTAGGGATCAAACCTAGGTATGTGTCCTGACCAGAAATCGAACCCACACCTTTTGGGTATATGGGACAACCAGGCCAGGGCTCCTGTAGGGTTTTAATGGCCCTGCAGATACAAGGGACTAAGAAACTTGGGAAGTTATGCTTTATGTCTACTGGGTTTGGGTATAAGTGTTAGCTATGAATGTTTAGGAATCAGAAATTTCATTGATTTAATGAGTCAACCTAGTGGCTTCAGTTCTTTTTTTTGAGTAATTCTTGTATTAAATAGTGAGCTATGAGCTACATATGGAAAAGTGCATAACACATGGAGGTTTCATAGTCATGAAGTAGCAGTCCTTCAGTTGTTTCCCTTAGTATAATACCCTCTAGGTTCATCCATAACCCTAAAGTTCCTATGGACCTACAAAAGACCACAAATGTCACACCTTGAGACAGAAGAACAAAAGTGGAGGTGTCATACTCTTCAGGTCTCTGGGCTTCAGAAAACTAAGTACACCTTTTTAATATGAATCAAGCAGGCTAATGATCAGTAGCAGCTATCTGCAAACTGGCAGGTGAGGTGGTAGTTGTATAATTAAAATGTATAATTAAAATTCATTGTTGAATGGTGTTTGTTTATTCAATGTTACAAATAGCCACCCCAAAAATCCAAAGGGAAAAAATATACTTCAAGTGCAAAAGGTCTATAGCATTGAAGGAAAAAAATCACCTTTTTTCTTCCTTTCCCTTTTATAAACTTTATAATTTAAAAAGTAATGAGGTTTGAAAGAAAGGGAATATGGCTATCGGTACATGTAGATAAAAAATAACAATTGGTGTACTCAGAGGGCCAGCTGATGTCCTACAAATTCATTACCAGAAAATTCCTTGAATGTACGTATCTGTGCATGTTACTTCTCATAGCAATGATCTACAATCCAATGTCTGCACTTTTAGTATAGTCAATACATTTGCTGATGCAAAATAGTCACTTCTGTCAGCAATGCCAAATACAGTGTTATTTAAAAAGTACCACCCTTGTGGGAATGGGTCAGTGGGTAGAGCATCGGCCTGCGGACTGAAGGGTCCTGAGTTCAATTCCGGCCAAGGGCACATGCCTGGGTTGCGGGCTTGATCCCCAGTGGGGGCCGTGCAGGAGGCAGCTGATCAATGATTCTCTTTCATCATTGATGTTTCTATCTCTCCCTTACCCTTCCTCTCTGAAATCAATAAAAAGATTAAAAAAATAAAAATGTGTGGACAGTACAAGCATGGACTAAGATGCTCAAGAACGGAAACCAACACCAGTTCTCTCACTGACCACACTGATGTGTTTCAGGGCCTGTTTGTAAAAAGCACTACGACTAGAGTTTAGGATCAGTGTGCAGATCTGTTTGTTCATAAACATTAATTGCATAAGTGTTAAGGACCAGTAGCCAATAACAAAGGTCTAATAATTCCTTACCTATAGGTATTCTAGCCACTTTTCCAAATGCAACTGATTTTCCTTAAGAAAAATAAGTCAACTGATTCATGTATTTCATACTGCATTCTTTTTAATGAAAATAAACAACTTATTTAACTGCTTATTTTAGCACCGAGATGAATGTCATGCAGTTTTGTAAAAATGTAATTATTTAAATTGTGAATGGGTTAGAATCAGTCTTAATGCAAAAGTTCTCCAGTTAATTTATTTTGGGTGGAGGTGGGTGTGAGTGTGTGTGTGTGTGTGTGTGTGTGTGTGTGTGTTGGGGGGGCCAGGGGGGCTTTATGCTAGCAGGCCTGACTCTTCTTCCCTCACTAGGTTATAAGGCAGAAATCTCCATTCAGGGTCTGCCTTTAGTCATTTCACTCCTGTCTTGTAGAATTCAGAAGGCTGAATATTTTTGACCCCGCTTTACTGCTTATTAAAAAAAAACAAAATTCAAAAAAAAAAAGAAAAAAGAAACCCATTGGAGCCCCCACCCAGAGGTTTCCAATTGCATGCTCTGGACAGTTGGCCATGAGTTGTAGCTCCCAGCTGGCCCCACGGAGAGCTGAGCAAGCTGCCTGTGTCCCACCCATTGGGCAAGCACCAGGGACAGAGGGCAGTGCAGGGAGGGGCCAGGCTGGGAGGACAAGGAAAAGGGGGTTGTTGCCAGTGCGGAGCCTGCAGGTTGCTATGGGGGATGAGTCTGGGAGGGGGCGATGGGTGCTGAGTTCCCACGGCCCTCTGGGCAGCCACCAACAGCAAGTGCCTCTCCAGCGCCTGCTGGCTGGCCCAGGTTGTGCTCTCGGTGTTCTTGTTGGTTTCCCCAGCAATGACCAGGAGACTTTGGCAAGGTGGGTGTTTA